TGTTGGATCATTTTAATGACTACCAGGCCCTCTGTTGTGCCTTGCAGCTGAAAGATTCCCCTTCAGGAGCCATAGGACTCGGGAGCGTGGGCTCTGGGTGGACGCGGATGAAAGCCCAGGTCCCTCGCTGTGGGCGAGATTTGCTGGACATGGGTGTCCAAGTGCTTGTTCTGTCACCGAGCAGGTCAGGACCGGCCTGATTAGGTCTGCACAGCCTGGAAGCCTGTGAGCCTGGCTCTCCTGGCAGAAAAAATAGGCATTTGCCTCCTATTTCTTTGAGCCTAAGAAAACTACCCCCCAAAACTTTGTGTTCATCTACAGAGAAGAGCCAAACATTTATTGAGTTCTTGCCATGAACCAAGCACGGTCAGTCGCCTTACGTGCACATGGCTCCTTTATATTCTGATGATGGAACATTCCTACATAAACATCCCATGAATTTTCTTATTCTACCTTGATTTTCCCTTCACCTGGAACTCTATTTGCATTTCATTTGTTGTGTTTTTGCAATCTGCCTGAAATTCACTGTGGAATATAGCTACTGATGAAAAAAAAAATAAGCAAATGCTCAGGGTTAAGCATTGTTAACCCTGTTTTAGAGATAAGAAGACTAAAGCTGAGATAGTAACTCGCCCAAGGCTTCAGAGTTACTGAGTGGTGAAGCTCCAATTTCTAACTTGGTCCTTTAAGGCTCCCAAGCCCTCCCTGCCCCCTCCAGCATGACAGGTTGTAATAACTGACGAGGATGGAGCTAACACCAAGTGGGTCTGTACTTGGCAAGAAGCCCATGAAGAAGGCTTTTACTTCTCTGTTTTATATAATGAGCTGAAGCCTAGGAAGCTTCGGAACCTGCCGCCGGTCACACGCCAAGAGTGGAGGAGCAGGAATTTGAGGCTAAGCTGCTTATTTCCGAAGCCGGTCCAGTACACGGCTACAGGTTCCATCAGGAAAGACTATCAGCCACATAAAAGCAGGGTGGTGAGTCTCAGATGTGGCAATAGTGGGGACCTTTCCAGAGTCCATTTAGCCTCTTTATTTATAGAATCTTGGGGTGCACTGTCCCACCTAACAGTGTACCATCCTTGTGAACTAACCCAGGGTCCTCACAGGCCATCTCTGTGTACCATTTATGTATATTTCTCAATATGCCTGTGTAACATCCGAGGGGACAGTCTCAACACATCTGTGTACCACTCCCATAAATCATCCTAGTGGTCCACCCAGCATACCTGTTTACCATCCCTGTGTACATGGGCAGCAGCTGGTGTACCAGCATCCCATCTCATGTTCCATCCAGTTTGTGGACCATCCCTGTGTGTCCGGGTACCAACCCTGTGTAGCATCTCCCTGTCCCATCTCTGTCCACCTCCAAGCTTGCCTGCATACCTGGGTAATATCCCAGTATAAAACATCCCAGCACACCTGTGTACCATTTTTACATACGATCCTAGCATACCTGTGTACCACCTCTATGCACCATCCCAGCACACCTACATTCCATCCCCATGGACCAATGTCCATCTCAATGTACCATCTGGCTGCACAATCCCAGTGTAGCTATCTTCTATCCCAGGATACCTAGAGTACCTAGGTACCATCCTTGTGTACCGTCACAGCATATCCATGTTCTAGACCAACACACCAGCCTACCATCCTTATGAGGGCTCCAGAAAAATCAAGAACCATAACTGTTTTCACTGGATATGTGTTGCAGAGAGTGGTTTATTTCTAACATCTGAATAAGCATCGGTTTGAAGACCTGCCCTGGCACTCCAGCTCCTTTCTGTGGTTCTGTGCTTTCATGGAATCTGCCAGGGAGGGGCTGTCAGCACAGGCTTCAATAGCTGCACTTGTAAGGGATCAACTCCCTGCTGACAGAGGGAATCTTCCACCTCTTTCCACAGAGCAGAGCCAGCTCGCCTGCCTCCCAGAGGGCGGCAGGCCAGTTGTGCAGACCACAGTCCGGAGTGTTTGGCACCACACTCTACCCCACGCCCTCGGCAGGATTTGTTGTTTCCTTCACAGGAAAGGGAAGAAGCAGAGAGACTGCTCCATGCTAAGGTCCACACCAATGGTTAAGTTCTGTGGTCTGCTGGCACTGGTTGACCCAATTTGAGAGATGAGAAAATTGTCACTTGGCTCGAATCACAGGGCTAGTTAGTGACGAGGCTGGGCTTTGAACCTGAGCTTTATGGCTCAAATGCCCACAGTCCCACAACACTTCCTGCAGGTTTTCCACGAGCAAAGTGATTAGGAGAACGGCTGCTGGTGAGAAAGGACGCTGATATCCCAACCATTGAAGGATGTCATGGAAACCCAGACTCTCTCCCTCCCCTGGGTCAAGCTCTAGAGTGTAAGATGAACAGACACCTTGGCCTGTCCCCAAATACACCTTGGTCTGTCTGAGACGCCAACTCTCAGAACCTCAATTTCTGATATGGCAAACTTGTGAATGTCCATGTGCTGGAACAAGTATGTTAAAACCCACACCACACAGAAGGGACTGCTCAGACCCCTCAATTAATAACACATTGTCACTTCTAATTCTTTTCCAGGTGAAACTAGGCAGGCAGAATTCTCAACTGAGGTGAAAGGCATTTTTTTTTTCACTCTTTAAAAAAGTACATTTTTAATTGGTTTGGATTAAAAAAATAAAAAAAATAATAAACCTCCAAGCACAAACTGGTATGACCCAGATTGGGATAAACAAACGAGAAGGGAGAAAGAAAGGGGAGAAAGGTCCTCCTCCAGGACACAGGTCAAGAGTGTGGACCTCATTATACCAAATGAAAAGTGTTCGAGGCCAGGCAACCTGCTCTGTCTTGGAGCTGGCATCCAGACATTGTCAGATTTCACTGTGGGGATTGGGCAAGGAAAGTAGTGGTTCTATACAGGATGGAACTGGAGGGGCTAGGGCTGCAGCTGGACAGGGCTGGCTTGGAGGTGAGTGGTCAGCGTACCAAGAACCGAAGGTTTCAGCCAACAGTGAACATGGAAGATGGGTTTAGCAGAAGCCACTGGGCTATTGCCATTTTCCTTTCTTGCTGGGAAGATGGCTAGACTACATTTCCCAGTATCCCTTGCAGGTAAGATAGAGTCATGTGACTTGGTCCTGGCCAATAGAATGTGGGTGATGTAAATGATGCCATTCCCAGCCTGGTCCATAAAGTTTCCCCCTTGATCCTTACCGTCTCTTTCTCCATCTGCTAGATAGAGAGGAGAAGAGCCATCTAGGAAATGACAGAGTCACACACGGGGGTCCCTGAACCACCTCTTGGAGGAGATTCACCTAACCAGGAACACCCTCATTGGATTTGTCTTGTAAAGTGTTGTCTGCATAAAAATTGTATATTTATTGCTTTGATTAAAAAATAAAAACAGTTATTAACTTATACTGAGCAATAAACAGGATGACTAATGTCAAATGCAATACCTAAGCTGGGGAGATCTAGGGTCTTTAACAAGATAAGGCAACAGGAAGTGGTGGGTTCTGGAGACAAACTATAGAAAGCTCCAAAGGCAAGCACAGAAGAAGGAGCACTTTGAGAGCCTGGGCACAGCTATGGAGGCTCAGAGGATCTGTAAGAACACTCAGGCAGTGTAGACCCCCCCACACATGCCTCCTCTCTGTGATTCCACCTTCTCCTCCTCCTCATACCCTGCTTCATCATCATCCTAAACACCACGCCCATGTTCTGGGCATTTCCTACTTGCCAGGTCTGGTACCAGGCACATACCATGACTTATCTCATCCATTCCTCACAACTGCCCTCTGAAGGAAGCACTGCTTCTAGTACCATTTTGTAGATGAGAAAGGCTGACCTTAGATCACTCAAAACAATTTGCCCAAAGTCATCAGGACACAAACCCTGCCAGTCTGATTCTAGAGCTGGTGTTGACTACTGTGTGCTATCCGAGGATATCCAGTTAATACTGCTGGCCCATCTCAGCACGTCCCCTGGGCCTGTTTACCTCTCCTGGCCCCTAACAATCCCATTCATTCGTTCACTCACCTGTCAGTCTCTCCAATCATCCATATATCCATTCATCCATCCATGAATTCATTCATCCATCCATTCACCATCCACCCATCCATCCATTTATTCATGAACATGTTCTGAGTTCCTTCCGCATCCCAGACCCAGTGCCGACCGTGGAACTACAATAGTGAAGACCAGAAGGCATGTGCCTTGTGAAGCACCTGTCTGTGCAGGAGGGACAGTCGCAGGAAGGTGGCACCCATGGCACAGGCTATAACCAGCTCAGACTTCGGGAAAACTATTCTGACCCCAAACTGGAGATCAGCCTGGACCTGGGAAAGTCTGAAGACAGAGAATGAATGATGAAAGCAGGAAGGACTGGGGTCATGGAAGCAGGTTTAGAGGCCCACGAGAAAAGAGGACACATGAAGTGTGTCCCCTGCAAAGGGCTGCACAGGTGGACGAGATTCATGTTAAACAGACTGGACTGACTTGACTTTTGAGCTGAACTCATCCTGGCTGCTCACAGCCCCTCCTCTCAAAAAGGGGGAGACCGCAGTCAGATGACAGTTTCATTTCCCCCAGGAACGTTCTTGGCACTTTCCTTCTTCTTTTTTCTCCCCTCTCTCTGGGGTTCATTTCCTTCTTTGGGGGAAGTGCGCCATGCAGAGCCCTGGCTGCTCTCCAATGTTCCAGGAGAAGCCTGGCAGCCGCTTTCTGCCTCCAACCTGAAATTTTGTGAGGATGGAGAGATGGGAACACTAGCCACCTGGTCTTTTACAAAACCAGAGCTGCATGCTGGGTGCCAAGCGATGCTATCAATTGATTAAAACACAGCCTGCCAGCTCCTCCAGCTTGATACAGGGGAGCACAGGCTGATGGGCGGTCTCCAGCCCATCCCCGAGGTCGCCACTTGCTCCTCCCCACGCGTCATTAGACAAGCTCCGCACACAGGTCTGAGCGGAATGAAGCACGAAGCACGCGCACAGGCAAGCAGTGGGTGGCGGAGGCGGAAGGCAATCACCAAGGGCCAGCACTGCAGCGGGCGAAGATGCTGTCACTGTGCACCCAGGAGGGGGAACCGGGGACCGGCTGTCGACTTCTCACAACGCGTGCCAGGCCCCCAAAGGGCACGAATCTCTCCTCTACCTCCCATAAATGTAGCATCAGGGCCGCCATGTACAGACACTACGGGAGGCGATGGGGACAGGACGGGGCAGAAGGAAAAGGAAGGGAGTGATCATTGCTGGGAAGAGGCGTGCGGTATCACCAGAGCTTATAACGGACAGGAGCGACCAGGTTAGGAGGCTTTTCTGAGGAAGCAATCACTGAGAACGAAAATAAGTGTCTGCTCTGTTCTAGCAGAGGTGACTGCAGATGCAAAGACCCTGCTGGAAGAGGGAGATTATGCATTCACTTCACTCAAAGATTATTGCGGCTGGGTCGAGAGAGGGGCAAAGGCAGCCATGATTTGGAGCAAACGAGCATGAAGGTCCCCAGTGTCCCAAGGAATGCTCTAGTCTCCATCCCAGGTGATGTGATCATCCTGACCCCTCGTGCCCTCTCTTGACCCGTCCCCAGGCGGCAGGGCAAGAATGTGAGCTGGCCCTCATAGAGCAGCAGCCTTCTTGACAAGTGCCAGCTGCCCGAGGGGTAGAAGAGGTTGGGGGGAGCTGGGGTGGAGACTGATAAGAAGACTTAGTGAAGAAACAGCACCCACAGGCTCCAGCATCCTCCTGGGCGCTTTCCATTTACTATCTTGTGTCATCACCAGCATCCTTTGAAGGGGTCTGTTATTAAACCCCATGGTCCCACCCAAAGGACAAGGAGGCCAGGAGAGGGTCCTGCCCACAGCCACGTAACAAGCAATCAGAGAACCAGGGCAGGACTCCAGGTCCCCTGAGGGCCAAGCAAATTCCCTCCTCCCTCAGCAGGTGGGGCTGGGGAGATGCTCATGGCTTCTCCAGGTTACCAACTTTCTTGGCCAGATCAGCCCTTAGTTCTCCATAGGCTGGAGCCAGAGCGCTCAGGTGACCAGAGCAGGCTACCTGCGGATGATCTCAGGGGTGTCTCAGCCCTTCCGCTGGGCAGCCACTGGGCATTCCCTGGGCCAAGTCCTCATCCAGGGTCAGCCAGGCTCCCTTCTGCAGCTCGGGGTCCCTGCTCTGGTGAGAAGTGGAGGGGCTGGCCCTTACCTTCAGAAAAGGATGCAGGAGACAGGTTCCCTTGGACAGCTTTTCAGGGATGTTCCCAGGGACAGCCGGGACCAGGGGTTGCCACGAAGGTGGAGATACCTGGTCACTTGAGCTCTGGGCTGAGTTCTGATAGAGGGTCAGGTGAGGCCACTCTCACAGGTCCCTTTGTGACAAGGCTCCATAGTTGGAGTGAGTTGAGCCACTGGCAGCTAGGAAAGAGATGTGCGTGTGTGTGTGCGTGCACATGTGTGTGTGAATGTAGTTTTACAAAATGCTAGTTAGCTAGAGAAAGAAGCTATAGACTTGGCTTAACATGCACAGTGCAGTTGAATAGAATTTAGAATCAAGCAGACCTGGATTTGAACCTTGAATCTGCCACTTAGACGCTCCACGACTCTGGGCAAACTACTCAGCCTCCCCGAGTCTCAATTCATTACCTATAGAAGTGGCTATAATGCTTCTTTGTCTTAAAAGCTTTTCTGAAGATTAAACCAAATAATTTATCTGTGTGTGAAATAATTTATCCTGAGACCTGGTATACAGAATACACTCAATAAAAGCCAGTGTCCTCTTGAAAGCTGCTAACAGCCCCACCTCTGCCACTGACTAGCTGTGTGACCCTGGACGGATGTCTTGACCTCTCTGTGCCTCTGCATCCTCACATTTAAACAGAAATAATAATATTACATACCTCACAGAGGGCTGAGGAGTAAGAGAGTCAGTACATTTACAGTGCTAAGCACAGTGACAGGTCGCATTAAGCACTGTCTTTTCCATCAACACCACACGTCTATGATTATTTTGTGACTAGTTGTTTGTTTGTTTTTTAAACTATATGGCCTGAATCTCCAAACAAGTGTGTCCTCCTTGAGAACCAGGGCTAAGGTTTCTCTTCTGAGAATCCCTCTTCACATCCAGCACAGGATAAAAGGACTAAAACTCTGTGCTGGTTATATATTGAATTTAGCCCATGAGCACAGATTCACAATCTGAGATAATAAAATGGTATATGAAGAAGGCCTTCTTTTCTCAATCTCTCTTGCAAATGTCTGGATCAGGTGATGCAAAAGCATCATGAAACTTGCAATGCTTCTTCTTTGAGCAATAAAATCTGTTAGGTCCCCCAAGAACTTTCCCTCTCTCCGAAGGACTTAATACAATTAAAAGCAGCAAGCAGACTTCCTGTCTGGCCAAACAAAAGTAAGCTGAAAATGGTCCATGGATGCCCAGAGGCTGGCAGACAGCATATGAATGAATTAGCAAATTAGCAGAAACAACTTCTGCTGAAAAACTACTAAGATGTTCCTCTGATAATGGGACGGATTTGTAACGGATGAAACTGTGGGATTCCTGCAGAACAGGAAACCTGGGCCTCCGTGGAGTACAGGAGGAATTTGGAAGCAATTATTGATTGCTCCAAAACAAATCTCAGAGAAAAGAAAAGGTTAAAAGAGATGATAAACCCTGATTACAGACTGTATCACATGACGCTCTGATAACTATCTCTTCCCCACTCACCCATGACCTTCTCTTGCCAGTTCAGAGGCCTTGAGTTCCATTTTGGGGTCATTTCTCCTGATTTTTAGAGGCAGCAGTGTAGTTATATGGGAAAGAGAAGGCTTTCTGGTGCTTCTGTGATGCAAAATAATTAACTTTAGAATAAAGTAAAATGACGTTTACATAAAACCAATAAAATAAATTTCCCCCCAATGGGTATTTCCATTCATATTCTGAAAAAGTTTTGAAAGTGATATTACCTTCACTTTGGTAATTTAAAGATTTTTTAAATCTCAGGATAACCTGAGAAAATAACAGATGGAGGCCTTATGTTTATCATAAAGTGAAAGTCGCTCAGTCATGTCTGACTCTTTGTGACCCTATGGGCTATACAGTCCACAGAATTCTCCAGGCCAGAATACTGGAGTGAGTAGCCTTCTCCAGGGGATCTTCCCAACCCAGGGATCGAACCCAGGTCTCCCACATTGTGGACAGATTCTTTACCAGCTGAGCCACAAGGGAAGTCCAAGAATACTGGAGTGGGTAGCCTATCCCTTCTCCAGTGGATCTTCCCGACCCAGGAATCAAACCAGGGTCTCCTGCATTGCAGGCAAATTCTTTACCTATTGAGCTATCAGGAAAGCCCATCTTTATCATAAGTAAAATGTAAATGTAAAATTTTTCTACCCAAAGACTGACTTACTATCTGCTGGCTTTTAGTACTTAAGTTACAGGAAAGTGAGTTCTCTGAGACAGAAAAAGAATCTCCATTATAAGAGAGTTATGTGGTAAAGATGTTTAGTTGATGCTGATGCAACCACATCACTATCTTTGCAGCAGGACTTATCAGCACCTTTAACATGCTAATTGACAATGAGCATTATAAATCTCCAAAACAGAGACAGTACATGAAATACTTCTCAGATTCACTGGACCACTAACTTTCCTCTACAACATCATTCAGAAGAATCACTAACCCTCCTTAAATAAATAAATCCATACTGTTACTCACCCTGGGTGGGCCAGAGCTGCCTGAGGGAGAAATAAGCTTTATCACCAATCAGAGCTCGCAGTTTCTCTTGGGTCATTTGGCTAAGTTTTTGAGGGGCCCTTGCAGCTCCTCCAAAGTGAATTTTGAGTAGACCAGTGCATATACTTTAAACAATCCATCCTAAGTAGGCTGCCCAGATTTGGTGCAGATTAATCCTGTAGTTTTCATTTACAGGGGTGGGGTAGATAAAAAGCCTTAGAGTCCCTCCCCTTTTTGCAAAGAAAATCACTTGTTTCACATACTTTCATTAAGACCTTTTAACCAGAGACCATTGGTTATATGGTTATATATTTGTTTAGAGAACACCCGGCTTTCAGTGCTGAGTACGTGTCCAACAATGACGCAGCACAAAGAAAGCACATCCTGTGTGCTTCCGCTTTCATGAAGCTGGAACCAGACAAAACGAATCCATGATGATGGCAGTCAGAACAGTGGTTACTTGAGAAAGGGGGTGTCCCCTTTTGCTTCTGGAAATATTCTACATTTTGATCTGGTAGTGGACACAAGGGTGTATGGTATAGTAAAAATTCACCAAGCTGTTATGCACTTAAGAATTGCACACTTTACTGCATTATATAGCTTATTTAAAAAGACAAATGTAAAAGAACTAGGATGACTGAAAGGAGGCATTTCTCCCTGTTTGGGGCAACTCTGTGAAGTTATTTTAAAATGAAGAAAAATAAGAAGTCCTTTATCTATTTGAATCTCTTCAAGAGATATGATAACTCTCAATGCATCTTTTGGGGGAAAACTTTATTTTTTTATCTAAGATATAAAAGGTTGATATGAAGGTGAAAAAAAACCAAAAACCAAAACGCTCAGTGTCTCCACTGACCTAATGCTTCTTAGAGTCAGAAGACGTGACCCGTGGAGAGAACTCTGGGAAGCTCTGCGCACGGCCAGGCCACTGGGAGTCTTTGCAGCCACTGCCTCGGTCCTGATGATGACGAGCGTGGCTCTTCCCTCTGCGTGGGTAAGCCTCTCCAGCCCGCATCCGCATGGGAAATGAGAGGCTTCCAGTGCAGAGGCTCAGGCGTGCTCACAGCGCTTGAGTCGAGAAGACACAGGGAAATTAGACAGCCTGTCAATCCATTTATGCAAGAGGGATGCGGTTACAAATCAGGGAGAGAGCATTTGCATCGAGAATGGAAAAGTAGATGGCTCGGGACTTAAAAAGTCGGTCCCTGGAGACCCCGAGTGGCGCACTGGGGCGCCCAGCACTGCCACCCGGATCCCTCAGCCCACTCATCCCTCACCTCTGCCCTCCAGGAGGAGAAGGCGGCTGGGGAGCAGGCCTCAGCCAGCCAGAATCCTTTCTGACCCAGCTTCTTTTCCACTTAGTGGAGAAAACGAAACGTCTGGCCCAGAAAGATTCGGTCTTCCTTCCTTTCTTTGGGAGCAGCTGGAGGGCAGCTTCGGGGGGTCACGCTGCTTAGGACTGGAGCCTGGTCCTGCTGTTAATACCCGGGTGACCCTGGGCAAGTTCCACAGCCCCGAGAACCTTCCCTGTAAGCGAAGGCTGTATTTTACGTGGCACCCACCGCCGGGGTCACCCCGAGGGTGACGGTGACAGTGATGGGGGCGGGCGGAACGCGGTGTGTGGGACACGCGTGGTGCTCAGTACAGAGGTGCCTCTTATTACTTAATGACTCATCCTATCACCATGATTAGACAGAGAGACCAAAGGGGCCCGCCTGCAAGGGAAAAGCCGCCTTGGCCACTGGTTAGTTCACCTGTACCTTTTATTTCTGGCCTGGGCACCATGGCAGCTTGGATGGCAACCAGGGGCCCCCACCTCCACCTGCTATTCATGAGCTTCCCACAGCGCACTGAGAAAACTGGTCCTCCCGCAGACACTGAGGGAGAGGCTCCTGGTGTGGGGCCCTAGACGAGGGGAAGACAGAATCATTTCTCCTTCCAGACTCCCCCACCCCCCTGCTGGTCTCCCAGGGCAGAGGACATTGTGCCATGAACCAAAGCGGGGGATTGGAGCTGCTTGAAATTACCCAGCTCCATTCCATCGATGCCTGGAACCAGAGTGGCACAGGCAGGTATTCAGACTCTCCCATTCTTCCTTCCATCTTGTCTATCCATCCGTCCATCATCCATCCAGCCATCTGTTCATCCCGTGTGCCCTGAATATGTCTTACACATCAGTTTCTGTGATAGGAGCTGAGGATATTTATACGGCAGGGTCTTCCCCTTGGAGAGTTCACACAGAGAGTGCACATGGATGGCTTCACTGCATGGGGTAACGTCGGTGGTCGAGAGAAAGGGGCTGTCTCATTGGAAAACAGAAGTATCTAGTCTAATCCAGGTGATTAGGGAAGCCTCCTTACAGAAAGAAATAGCTTCTCAGACTTAAAGAAAGAGGTGGGAAGGATGATCCAAAGAGAAGCATCAGCGTAGCTGAAGAGACGGCAGTGAGAAGTTGAGCATCTAATGCCTGTGCAGAGGAGGGGTGAGAGGCAAACAGAAGGCAGAGCGTCCGAGTAGGGAAGGCGTCCTGTTCTGGGCTCTGTTCTGCAGGAGGTGGCGAGCAGGGGGAAGCGGTCTCTATGGGGTGCGGTCAGACGAGCTTCTCCTGACAGTGACTCTGCGTGGGCTGGAGAAAGACAAGCGTGATCAGTGGCCGTCATCAGAGAGGTGACGACAGGCCTGGAGTGGACGGCAGGCATCCTGGAAGTGTGCTGGAGGCAGGGAATGAGGTGGATGGAGAAAGTCACCAAGGATGAAAGCCAGTGCCTTATGAGGGTCCAGGGAGTGGGATTCTGGAGGAGAAGGGGGACCTAGATTGAAGGAAGGATGGGTCACCTGTGTCCGTGGTCAAGATGTCTTACACCTGAAGGTAGAGAGGCCCAGTAGGCAGTTACATTTCAAACTCAGCAAAATGATCTGAGAGTGGAGGAAGGGGATGAGGTTGTACAGAGTGGAATGATAAAAGGCCGAAGGGTGAACCACTGGGGGACTCTAATGTCTACATGGCCCAGATCCTGCGGGTTATATACCTGAACTCCTTCACATCTTCAAAATACCCTGGACACAGGCACAGCTGGAAGTCTTTCTTGGCCTTGACTGAGCAGCCAGCCATGGAAATGAGGCAGAAATGAAGACACCACCCCAGAGACTTAGATTCATCAAAACTGTCTGGACCCAAGGAAACCCAAGCCCTGTGTGGGCCGGGGCTAGCCTCCTGCAGAGATGCTGGAGAGGGAATTCCTCTGCCTGAAAGCACTAGCTGTGTTGTAAGATTCTCTGGGTCTAACTGGATAAATAAACAACGATATACAGTGCAACTGACGGCAGCCATTAAAGAGAATAAGACAAATCTCTACGTACTGACATGCAAGGGTATCTCAGATGTACGGTTAAGTGAAGCATGTCTGCACACACACAGACATACATAAGTACATGATTTGGGTGGGGCTTCCCTCGTGGCTCACTGGTAAAAACTCTGCCTGCCCATGCCGGAGACGCAGGTTTGATTCCTGATCCAGGAAGATCTCACATGTCACGGAGCCCGTGTACCACAATTGTGGCGCCTGGGCTCTAGAGTCCAGGATCGGCGATGACTGAGTCCACGTGCTGCAACTGCTGGGGCCCGGGAGTGCCCTAGAGTCCCTGCTTTGCAGCGAGAGAGGCCACCACAACGAGAAGCCCGAGAACCGCAACTAGAGAACTCCCCCCCCTATTCTCTGCAACTGGAGAAAAGCCAGGGCAGCAACAAATTCTCAGCACAGCCAAAAATAAATAATAAACATTACATATAAAAGAAAAGATTTGGGTGAACATATACCAAACTGTTGGAGAGGCTGGGAAAGATTGCAAGGTTTTTCCCTTTCTAAGTTACGTACATCAAGATATACAGATACCTGTTTCTTAATGAGAACACAATGGTGACTAGCAAGGCATGAAGATGACACGATCTGCTATTTCTAACTGTCCAGGTCCCATTCTCGGGCTGTCCCATCTTCCAGCCACACGTGGGGCTCAGGGCTCTCTGAGCAGGGGAAGGAGGAAGCGGAAGCATGTCCTGCAGCTTATCGAGGATGTCTGATCGCACTCTTGTAGATGAAGCGCCCCAACTGTGATAACAAGGGGAACCACTGGGTGAGCTAGAGAAATCACATTAAGAATCAGAAGAAGAAGAAAAAAAAACCGATGAGTCTACAAACGGGAACATGTCACACACAGTCAGAATTCAGAGCAGACAGGAATGGAAACTGGAGGTGAGATGGGAGGGCAGCTGGCTAGACTTAAGTCGGGACTATGCGGGAGCCCACCAGCTTGATGCCACACGGGGCTGACTATGCACTCGGGGGTTCCGACTGTTTAAAGCAACTGTGAGGATCAGACACGAAGGCACAGCCAGTATCACAGATGGTGGGGAGGGAGCAGACGGCTGGGAGCTGACCAACTGCAGCAGCTGCCTCGTGAAGTTAACCAGAGCACAGGTATGAAGACAGAAACCCCTGGATGATCAGAAACAAGCAAACAAAAATCTTCCTCTGTGGGGTGATGGCATTCTTAGTGTAGATTCTTCTTCGAGGGGCACAGAACAGAAGGACCAACTTTGCAGCCCCGGGTCCCCACCATCTCCAAAGCCATCATGCCCCTGCCCTGCCCTCCCCCAGTGAAATCAACCACCATCTCAATTAGAGCCTCAGTTTCCAGTGCCAGGTCTCCCCCAGCCTGAATGAGCCTGGATTTGCACACGCTGCTGCCGTGCTCACAACACCGGCCCACCAGCACGGAACAAAATAGACAACGTTCTTCCCCAGACGAGTAAATTAGGCTGACTGATGAACAGTTTTTCTTAAGAGGATTTGCTTACCTAAACCCAATAAACCCAGCCCTGCAAAGTCTCATCCTATCAGGCTGATACCTGCTCCACTAAACCATGGGATAGAGCTGCCTAAAGAGACAGGAAATGGGTGATGGAGAGTCTCTTCGTGTTGAAGAAGCAGAGGAAAGGAGCGTTTTAGTGAGGAGCGCCGGCCCTGATCTGGCTGTGAGTACAGCCCCTCTGCCCCGCTCCACCGCCCTCTACCCAGCCAGACCTTCCTAAACAGCATTTGCCCTCTCTCCTCGCCCCTCTCTTTTCTAACAGTCCAGAAACCAAGAACGCAGACCTGAGAAGCCAGCCTGGCTGCCCCAACCCAATTAATAAATTAAATGTTGCACTTGAAACAGTCCATGCCCTTCCTTTCCCCTCCAGGCCAACAAATTTCAAACCACCTTGCAAAGGTCTTTGTGAATAAAAACGTGTATTTGAAAATAAAACGCGCTGTGCTGTGAGGTCCTGTGGGCCCAGGCATGAGCTTTGAGGACCGGCGGTTTTTCTCATGCACTGTTTAAGCTGGTACAGTCCCGAGGGATCTTTTGGGACCAGATACCAAGCATTCAGACAGCAGGCAGCTACCTGGTGTCTTGGATCTGCTGAGGGTGGAAACCAGGGTGAAGTGAGTGGACCCTGGCTGAAAACTTCACCCTGGGTGCAAAATTTAAGGGAGCAGCCCAGATCAAGACAACAATTAATACAAAAGTGAATGCACAACAGTCCTCCATGAGCAAATATCAGAACGTTAAATAAAGACAAGGACTTCCCCGGTGGCTCGGCAGTAAAGAATCTGCCTGCCAGTGCGGAAGAGGCAGGTTCTATCCCTGGTCCGGGAAGATCCCACATGTCACAGTGCAACTCAGCTCGTGTGCCACAACTATTGAGCCGGTGCCCTAGAGCCCAGGAACCGCAACCACATACCACAGGGGCTGAAGCCCGCGTGCCCTAGAGCCTGTGCTCCGTAGCCAGAGACGCCACCGCAACGAGAGGCCCACGCACTGCAACCAGAGGGCAGCTCCCGCCCGCCCCAACTAGAGAAAAGCCCGCTGGCAATGAACACCCAGCACAGCCAAAAACACAGAAATAAAATTTTAAAAAATGCAGATAGGATCTGACCCCGGATTCGCATAACTCATGTCTCTCACCCCGTGTTGTCCCAGGTCAGCAAGTTCCAGTGTCTAAGCAGAACAGAAAAGGATGCCCTTACCCAAGGAATCCCCCATCCCAGGTATGGACCCAACAGAAATGCTTTCACCAAAAGACACGGACAAGAACTTCAGAGCAGCACCACTGACAACAGCCCCAAAGCAGAACAAGCAGCATGGCCATCAATGGGAAAAGTCTAAGTCAGCTATGGTCTCTCCATCCAACTGTCAGTGAGCCACAAGAGTAAACCAACTCTTGCTTTGGGCAACATGCAAGGAATCTCACAGGAGTGTTTCCCCTACATGAAAATCCACTGCGTTGTGCTTTTTCCTGTTTATTTGTTATACTTCAATAAATGGACTATTTAAAGAAATGCAAAAGAGCAAAGTGAATGGCAGCTGACTCCTCTTTCATTAGCAGTTATTTCTCACGGGTGGTATTCTCTTTATGCTGGACTACAAGGAGGGTATCAATACTTCCTGAGACCACGAGTTCCAATGGAAGACTTTCTCGTCCCCCAAATCTTATCATGAGTGAAGATCTCATCCTGAGTCTCTAACATGTGTGGATGGTATCAATAAAAATGGAATGTTCTTTCCTGAGGTCCACAATTAAGGACTTCCCTGAAAATCAGGCTTTCAAAAGACCTAGAACTGATGATCCTTGGGTCATTTCCATGGTCCAACCCTGGGACCACACCCAGAAAAGGCTGTCCCTTTGGACCCATCCAGAACATCTAAAATAATCCCCTTACTCAAGATCCATAACTTTAATCACAGCTATAAAGTTCCCTTTTGCCCAGTGAGGTAACATCTTCAGTTTCCAGAGATCAGGGCCTGGGTATCTTTGCATGCTGTCACTTCAGTCATGTCCAACTCTTTGCAACCCTCTGGACTGTAACCCACCAGGCTCCTGTCCATGGGATTCTCCAGGCAAGAATACTGGAGTGGGTTCCCATGAGATATTCCCAACCCAGGAATTAAACCCGCGTCTCTTATGTCTCCTGCATTGGCAGGTGGGTTCTTTACCACTAGCGCCACCTGGAAAACCCTTATTCTGCCAACATAACTGTTAAAATAAATGTTTTCTCCTAAATAACTTTTATACTCTCTCAGCCTTTGACACTCAAAAATTCTCCAGGTTCATTTACAAGAAGAAAGAAAAGAAATGAGACACACACAGGGCTTCTCTGGGGGACCAAAAGCAGTTTCCACATTGATTCATTCATTCAACAAATATTTGAGTTCTTTCATTCAACAAACACCTGGAAGCATGGATACAATGAAGAACAAACCAGAGCGATCTTGGCTCTTCTGTAGTTTTTATTTCAGTGCCTTTGAGATGATAGAAAAATACATAATTTAAAATATGTAATTTGCAATGTGGCTTCTGAAATGGCTCCCACCAATTCCCACTGGATCCTTCCCTGTCTGAATTTTGGGATAGCCACAGCTCTGGCCCACACTTTGATGGTAGCCTCGTAAGAAGCCATGAGCTGCAGGATCTAGCTAGCTAAGTCACAGGCAGGTTTCTGATCCACAAAAGTCATGTGGTAATAGGGTTGTAGTGTTAAAGTCACTATGTGTCAGGGTATTTGTTATGAGGTATTAGCTGACTGATACACATGTCAAGTCAGATGGTGATAAATCTTAGCAGGAAAAAAAATAAAATAAAAATAGAGCAAGGAAGGAGAACAGGGAATTCAGAGGCAAGTTGGGCTGCGTTTTGTAAAAGGGTCATCAGGAAAGATACTATATGCTATCATAACAAACCAAGGACTCAAGGAAGCCTTCTGGGAAGCTGCAATTTCTGGGTAGAGTGGGGTTTGTGGGCATTGACTAATGCGATCGGCAGGCTGAGAAATGTCATACAGAGTGAGTTTCAAAGACACAACCTGAATTCTTTCACTGGACTTTATTACTCTCCCTGCGCGACACCCTAGGCTCTGTTATCTCAGCTGCTACTAGAAATTCCCTGAGTTTTATTAACAGAGCAGTTTCTCACTGTGGTGTTATATAACATGCCATGAATATCTGCCTTCATCTATATAGGCTGAGAATTCCATATGAATTTAGTTTTCAAAGGAGGGAGTTCCCATAAGGCAGGACTTCTCTTCAAAATGTAGATGACATAGCCCCCCCAGTGGTCTACTGGCTAGGATTTGGCACTTTCAAAATGTAGACGACAGAGTCTAGAGATGCCTCCACTGCAAGGATGCTTAATATACGATGGGGCTATGAAAATAAACACACCAGTGGAAAGAGAAGCAGGGTTTGCCCATGGCATCCATGGTTGTTTTAATGTACAAGCCCACCACACACGCAAATTCATCTCCGTAGCAAAGTGTGTTTTGATTTTCCAGGGTCTGATTTTCCAATCATGATAAATCCCTCTGATTATTTCTTTTACTTGCAAGTTACAATTTAAGGTTCTTTCTATACAGTAGCAGTAGGCCTGAGAATATTGGTAGATGTGATTCTTCGTCTTGGTTGAGGCAGAAACTCAAGTGAGTGTAACAATTTATATGATCAAATAAAAGCTTCTGAATAATAATAATAATAAAAACATCTTCCCTGCATCTCCCAACTCTCTCGAGTCATTTAGTGCCTCTGCCAAAATGCGATGCCAGTGACTGTATTGAAAAGGGCCTAAACAGTGGCACATAAATTCTCTCTCTGCGTTACAAAGGAAGCTTCAGAAATAGGCAAAGGATTAATTGAACTCTCTATGTCTCAGAATCACCATATTTGTCAATACAGAACAGTAACAACAAAACCCCCAAAAGGCTTGCTGTGTAGCTATTTTACTGCTATATGTACCAGCCTCCTCCGAGAAGGCTCCCCTTCTGGGGTGCCTCTTTTGGCCCAAACAGGGCTGGGTCACATTCAGTCTTGTGTGCTTTTTAATCCCTCCCTGCCTCATCCTCCATGTCTGTTATGGCCCTGTCAGGTATTAGGAGGCCCAGGAGGTTCATTGCCAGGTACAGTTGCATGGATTGTGCACTGCACAAGGTTGCTGGCCTAAGGAAGTGGGCTGGGCTGATATGCAAGTCGCTGATATGTTGTTACGTGCACTGAGCCATGAACCCTGCCCAGAGGAATGGGGTGCCTTTACTAATTCATTCCAAGGCCCCATATGGGCCTGCCCTGGCCCTAAGACCAGGAATCTGATGAGGTCTAGACCAGAGGCTCAGTCTGTTCATGGTTTGAGCCCCAGCACCCAGCACGATCCTTGGTATGTGATGAGGACTCCATAAATATGTGCTCATGAATTACTGAATGGATTACTCAGCTGTGAGGTCTAGCGAAGCCAAAAGAGCAGCTGGTGTCTGGGTGGCACTCCTGGCTAAATGGCAGGAGGGCAAGAGGAGAGAGTGAAACCCACGAAGAATAGGTACACGCATGGGTGTCACGGGAGCACTCTGCTGTGCGCCTGAAACTAACACGTTCTCAATCAACTACACTCCAATACAAAGTGAACATTCAAAAAGAGAAAGAGACACATGAGCTCTTAAAGACAACTCCACATACTGCCCTGCAAGGCAGCACAAAACCACTTGGCTGGAAGCCAGCCTGTCTGCACCAGGTCGGAGATGATGAACCCAACCAGTCTCCTTGAGGGGTTGGGTGGTTCCAGGCGGAGCAGGAACCCGAGCGGCTCTTGGTTCAGACTCTCCTGTGCTCGGAGCACACTCTCTGGGAGGCCTCTGGGGGCTCGTCTTCTGCCCTGCATCGGCATCACTCGGGCTCTTCCCTCTCAAGCAGAACCAGCATAAGCAGGACTGGATTCCTGCCTGTAGCTCTAGAACTCACCGGGCGTCTGCTCCTCAGTTACTTGAGGGGACAAGTGACTAAAGCTTCTCAGAGGGCATCTGGAAGGATCTCTACTGCTGACCCAAGACACTGCAAACCCAGGTTCTCTGGTAGGGAAAGTCACCTCCTAGATTCCTGCGTATTTCTACCTCGTGAGCAGGGGCGGGTTATCTCCAGATGCAGAAGGGGACTTACATGGCACCAGTGTAAGGATGCCATAAAGGGTGCCCTTCATAGATGGCTTCGAGCAACGGAGATTCTGTTAGAGGACAGGAGTCCTGAATCAAGGTGCCATAGGATCACGCTCCCTCTGACAGCTCTGAGGAAGGATTCTTCCCTGCCTCCTCCAGAGTCTGGGGGCTCCTGGCAATCTGTGGGGTTCTTTGGCTCATAGGTACATTGCCCCAACAGCCATCTCATCATGACTCCCCTCTCCACTGTGTGTGTGTCTCTGTGTGGTCTCTTCTTAGAAAGACCCCAGTCATTGTCTTTAGAACCTACCCTTATCCGGGATGACTTCAACTGATCACATCTGTATTGCAGATGTATTACACCAGTATTTCCAAATACTGCTACATTCTGAGGTTCTGAGTGGACATGGTTTTAGAGGGGATGCTATTCACACCACTACAAATGGAAACAGGTATTTTCTGCCTTAACATTGGCAGTGAAATATGTAGAATATATACTTGTATTACTTCTACTATATATATATCCTTATATTACACACACACACACATACGTATGGTAGGAGACTATATTCTCCCACAAATGCATAAGGCCACACTGTATTCAAAGTCGAACTTAGATTTTCCTGATCAATAAATTCTCACTGTATAAATCTCACAGAGACACCCTGATTCCCTAACTTCAGCGTGGATGCTGAAATTATGCTGAATGTCAAAATTACATCAAACAACTGCACTTATTTCCACCAGAAAAACTTGATTATTTCACTTTGATTTACATGGCATTCCCCCCACCCTGCACACATGCTGACTTTGAAATCCCCTTCAGCGCTGGACAGTGAGGAGTGGGCTGTGTGCTCGCTGGGAAGGAGAGCTTTCATTATATTTGATACTGTATTTTTCTCTCTTGATTTGAATGTTATAATTGGATTGGCGAGATATTTATTAGGCACTCTGTGTTTTTTGTTTTTTTTTTTTTCTCCTTCCCCAACTGCTTGGAGGGTGTCCCTTAATTTGCTTCTGTCTTTGGACTTCTGAGAACTGGCTGTGAGGTATTATTCCCAACAAAACTCGTTTCTTTCAAACATTTATTTAAGGGTATCATTTTCTTAATCATTCTGAGGATAATTCAAAATAATTGCCATCACCACTGCAATTTTTAACTTCAGTGAAATGTGTGTCATCTACTCTCCCGCTGGTTCCTCTCCCAAGAGCCCCTCAGTCGTAAGTGCCAAATTGCTCAGACAAGACACGTAGGAGAAACTGCACCCGCCCCTGGGACCGGCAGGGGTCCCCCGGCCCTACTGTTGACCCATCCACGACAGGTCTGCTAGACTTGGTCTCCCTACAGCTGGGGTAAGAGGGCTATTTTTCATGAGTAGCTTCAAAGCATTTATGTTCCGTTCCATCTTAAAAACAACATGAGGGACTTCCCCAGCGGTCCAGTGGCTGAGATTCTGTGTTCCCAAAGCAGAGGGTGCAGGTTCGATCCCCAGTCAGGGAACTAGATCCCACAGGCCACAATGAAGAATCTGCCGGCTGTGACTAAAGGGTCCACATGCAGCAATGAAGATCCAAGATCCCACGTGCCACAACTAAGACCCAGCACAGCCACATACATAAATAGATAAATCATAAAGAACAACACGATCAATTTCGTCAAATAGCAGATGTGTGTGTGTGTGTGTGTGTGTGTGTGTGTAACTGAGTCACTCTGCTATACAGCAGAAGTTAACACAACATTGGAAATCAACTATACTTCATTAAAAAAATTTTTTTTTTTAAAAAGAACAACATGAAAAGCAAATTAGTAATCAGCTTAATCACTCACTGCTTGCCTGAGGAGGGAGCAGGGTGATTCGGGGTGAAGAGAATTCTCTGAGAAGGTGGAAGTGCTCCGTGTCCTCTTTGGGGTGGTGTTACAGGGGGTAGTCCACCCGTCAAAATTCATCAAGCTGTTCACTTCCGCTGGGCACGTCTTATTATATACAACTATGCCCCAGTGCGGAGAAGGCAATGGCAGCCCACTCCAGTACTCTTGCCTGGAAAATCCCAAGGACGGAGGAGCCTGGTAGGCTGCAGTCCATGGGGTCGCTAAGAGTCTGACATGACTGAGCAACTTCACTTTCACTTTTCTCTTTCATGCACTAGAGAAGGAAATGGCAACCCACTCCAGTGTTCTTGCCTGGAGAATCCTAGGGAGGGGGAAGCCTGGTGGGCTCCCATCTATGGGGTCGCACAGAGTCGGACACGACTGAAGTGACTTAGCAGCAGCAGCAGCATGCCCCAATGATGTTGATTAAAAAGTGATGTGCTTTTATCAGATGAACTAGGTGGAAACTAGGGAAAAAAATCAGTAAACCCTTGTTTTCCAGTGCTAACACTGTAGGAACATCTGAACATTAAATTCAAGGCATAATGTTGCTGAGAGAAGTGGCATGATGCAGTGACAGGACACTAAATTCAGAAATCAATCTTTTTTCTGAATTTGAAGAATTTCCAATGTTCTACTGGATTCATCCTCTGTTTCTCTTTGCTCAACAGTTACCTTGTTGATATTCTATTCCTTCACTCAGCAATTTTTTACTGAGTGCCTATGACGCTCCAGAAACTATGCTAAGTGACTAAAACTCCTCATTAAATACCCTGATGTATTAGCAGAACCACAGAGCTACCAGAATTTAGATGAGCTACAAATTGTACTTTTTAACAAGCCTACATTTTCCAAGACCTTTTAAAAAATTTTGCTAATAAAAAGTTTTAGCTGGAAAATTAAAGTAAACCAAATTCCCAGAGACTGAGAACATAAGCCGCTGAGGATTCCTAGCTTAAAATCTCTTCTTTTCCATAGGAAACACATGCCCACACTGGACTGAGCCCAGTGGTCACTGCTGCCTCCTTTTTATTTTTCTGTGGGTATCACTGTGTCTGGATTCTCTGAATCTACGCACTAGAGTGTGGACTTCTCTTCATCTTTGGCCCTAGAAAACTGCTTCGCTTTCTCTTTTTGGACTAGGGGAAAATCACATGCCTGCTTCTGTTTCTCTTTTCACAGTGTTCACCAGGAAGCTGAGGGCCGCGCGGGGACCAGTCAGGGCGTCCATGCAGAACTGTCTGGTCTGCACTTCTGTCCTACGGTCGCTCCCTGGTCTGACTTCCTTGTACAATGTGCTACTTCTATCGTTCTTTGGTTTTCTCCTAAGCATTGCTTTGCTTCATATATCCCATAAGCCACTTATGGAATTAGGCCAAGTATTCAAAAGTAAACGCAATGATTATTCTATAGTTTCTGTCTCGAATGTACACAGCATGCTAGAGACACACACTGTATTAATATGTTACACACACACATTGTACATGGTAGGAGCAGGATAATAGAGCAAGGGCTCAGTCAGCATCTCCCAAAGTTTTCCCACTCTTCACAGTTTCCATGTAAGGACAAGCAGTTTCACTCAAGTTATTTTAAATACTATCTATCAGAGAGTGTCCGAGAGTTAGACATTCAGATGCGACTTTTCACCTTTTGTTTGAACTATGTTGACGTAACCGGAACTTAGAGATACTTGACGTTAGAAATTCTTTCTAGAAGGAGGCAGAACGGAACCAGCATGTCTGTTACAAATCTCCTCCTCCCCTTCCCCACTAAACCCTTCCAGCTGACAGCACTTCCCGGTCACCTCCTCTTTCTGCTCAGCCCCCGGTCCCAGGAGAGTGGGGTGCCTAGGAAGGTGCTCGGGCTTGGAGTCAGACACAGGAGCCCCAGTTCCACTTCAGCCTCTTCCAGCGGCGTCACTTGGACAGGTTCCTAACTCTGTTGAGCCTCCGCTTTCCTACCCAGCAGAAAACAACAAGTGTCTTACCTTCTGGGGTTCTTGTGAGGAGGATTCAATGAGAATCCCACGTAATTCCCACAACATAATGTCTGGCACAGAACAGTTGGCAGTAGTTTTTTGTTGAGTGGGTGGAGGCAGGGAGGGATGGAAGATGGATAGGACGGATGGACTGATGGATGGATGAATACAGAATGGACTATGCCCCCCTGGACAGGCCAATGCTATACATTAGGTGAGGGATATCTTTGTATTTTCTTGCCAAAATCCGGAAGGGACAACACACCATCTCCTACATCTCTGTCCCCGTAGTTCAAGGCCATGACTACGGGTGTGTGCGCACACACACGCACGCAGAGTCACAGTGTGGAGTTACGCTGTGTCTCCCAGGGGCTCTGTGATTCTGTTTGGGAGTTGCCGTATGTGTCCTCCTGGGGCACCATCCGTGGCAAATGTACCAGAATGTGTACATCTTGGAAAAACACAAGCCAAAGGGCAGCTGAGAATGATGGCCTCCACCTGTGTTTTCAAACCCCAACCTCACCTCAAAGGTGAATTATTATTACCTCGCTTTCACCCTAAAATTCCAAATAAGAGGCAAACAGGTGAAGGATCTCAACACTTAACCGAAATTCTGTCTTACAGCATGAGCAATTTTATTTTCTGAACAATGATGACAAAACACAGCTCAGAACATCCCCTGGAAATTCAGATGGTGGGTTTCGCTTCTGGTCCAGTGGTTCTCTGTGGAGTGAGGCAGCTGCGAGGGTGCTTCCATGGGGGCAGGTGACAACTTGAAAGATTTGATGGATGTTGTGGGGCTGGTTCATCCTTGTCCCTCCATCACGGGACAGGGGGAAGTGTGACAAAGGAGGAAGATAAACATTTATAAAAAGGCCACGGAAAAG